TGAAAAAATTATAAAAATTTTGCAAAATTTCGGATATTTCCGGATATCTCCGGAACCACCAGGAATTTCTATTTCTAATTTAACCGAGACCGTACCTCTTACCGTTTCCTATATCCTAATGCTATCCCTTCCATATGTCGGACACACTGAATACAGGGTGCTACAAATTCTAGCAGAATTTACAACTGTGCTAATCAGCAAATTGCTGAAAATCCAGTCTCTGGATCGAAAAGCAATATAATCAAATCTGGTCAGTTTGTAGAGATGCGAGGTGCAGTCACTTACTAGAAGTAATGTAAGCCATACAGACAATTTTATGATATTTCCGCCTCCGTCCGCGGCTACCCTCAGAATAAAAAATAGGTCAATTACGTATTTTTTTTTTTAAATCCGATTACATGCGGTCATTCAGTGATGGTGGGGTTAATAATGAAAATATTTTTGTAAACCGAACCGCCCCGGACTGCAGTCATAGTCACCTTCACAGAGCCTATTAAATTATTATTTGTTATCCGATTTGATGCGGTCACTCAATAAAGAAGCGGTCAACACAAACAAAAATCAAAATATAGGTAATTAGGAAGTTGAACGCCTTCGACTGCAGCTGTTGCCGCCCCCCATAATCAAAAATACGCCTGATGTATTGAATTTTTTTAAATAAATTGATGTGGTCACTTAGGTCCGTATTCATAGTCGTTCCTCGAGGTTTCCTTGGGGCTTAGAATGGACACTTTGTTACTATTTGACAAGTTTATTATGTCAATTCTAAACGTCCAAGGCTTCCTTAAGGTCCAAGGAAACCTCAAGGAGCGACTATGGATACGACCCTTAGTCAGAGTGCTGTCAGCACCGAAAATATCACTGGAAAGTTGACTGCCCGCGACTGCAGGCGTTGCCGCCCCTTGGGATCACGGATACGCTTGAAGATTATTATTTTTTATCCGACTAGATGCGGTCACTAAGTGGGAATGCCGTTACTGCCCCCGACCATAGTCATTGTTCCGTAGGGTTCCAAAGACGCCTATTATATTATTATTTTTTATTCGATTTGATGCAGTCACTTAATAGGGGTGCGATCAAGAGCGTGACCGCATCAAATGCAATAAGATTTTGATTACATCAGACATATTTTTAGTTCTGAGGTGCCGCAACAGCTGCGGACGGAGGCGGTCAACTTTTTATTATTATTTTTTTTATCGTAGTTTGTGTTGACCGCACACTGACCGTATCAAATCTAATTAAAAAATTGTAATTTGATAGGTATTTTTGTAGTTCTAGTGGACGGCAATGACTGCGGTACGGAGCGGTTATTTAAAAAAAAAAATTTTTTGGTGTTAATCGCATCCCCACTTAGTGGCCACATCTAATCGGATATAAAAAAATCAATATTCGAGCGTATTCTTGATTCTGGGGTGCGGCATCGGCTGCGATCGGGGGCGGTCAGCTACTCAATATTATTTTCGGCGTTGACAGCACCCTTACTAAGTGACCACATCAAATCAAATAAATCAAATTGTCTGTATAGCTCATTTCCACTAACTGACCGAACCTCTACAAACTTTGAGTTAGGGTTATTTAAACTAGTTTCAAGTATGACATTTTCAAAATAAATTATTGAAAATTATATTGACTTTTCCTAATTATGGATAAGAAAAATTTACATTTAAAAGAAAAGGTCTCTTTCTAATGATGTCCGTGAAGTAAGCGTCGGTTTTTAGCGTCGAAACTATCGTCCTGCTTGAAATTGTGTTTTATTTTTTCCAAAATCGGTAGGGCACTAGGGGTTGAAAAAATGAAAAAAATTGACTTTAAATTAGGTTTTTATTTTTTATTTCGAGATTTTGGATGGGCCTACACCATCATCTTTTGACAGGTGATTACTATCGTAATTGTGTCAATTTTTTTTCAAAATCGGTAGGGGCTTAGGGGTTGAAAATATGAAAAAATCGACTTTAAATTGGGTTTATATTTTTTTTTCTCGAGGTTTTGGATGGGCTTACGTTATCATCTTTTGACAGGTAATTACTATCGTCCTGCTTGACATTATGTCAATTTTTTTCCAAAATCGGTATGGGTTTAGGGGTTGTAAATATGAAAAAATAGACTTCAAATTGTGCTTTCTTTTTTTTTCTCGAGATTTTCATTGTGCTTACACCATCATCTTCTGACGGGTGATTACTATCGTTCTGCTTGACTTTGTGTCTAATTTTTTTCAAAATCAGTAGGAGTTCAGAGGTTGAAAATATGAAAAAATCGACTTTAAATTGAGTTTTTTTTTCTCGACATTATGGATGGGCTTATACATTCATCTTTTGACAGGTGATTACTACCGTCCTGCTTGACGTTGTGTCCAATTGGTTTTGAAAATCGGTACGGGTTTACCGGTGTGAAGTTAGCACGCCGGCTCCAGCACGCCAAAGAATAAAGTGAGCACGCCATTAGAGCACGCCAAAGTGTAAAAAGTTAGCACGCCGCTCGAGCACGTCAAAAAGTAAAGTTAGCACGCCGCTCAAGCATGCCAAAGTGTGAGTTGGCACGCCATTCTAGCACGCCGCAATTTTTTTCCTTTCATTCACGTAAGATGATGTTTCACGTTCAAATTTGGTGGGATGCTTGCTCAAGGGATGCTTTATCATCCCTCAAAAGGAAAATTCCTTACAAGCCGTCGAACTTAGGAAAATCAGCGCTTATATGGAAAAATAATGAAAATTTCATATTTTCCTATTTTTTCTTCAGACTCCTAGATGGTGTTTCACGTTCAAATTTGGAGGGATGCTTGCTCAAGGGATGCTTTATCATCCCTCAAAAGGAAAATTCCTTACAAGCCGTCGAACTTAGGAAAATCAGCGCTTATATGGAAAAATAATAAAAATTTCATATTTTCCTATTTTTTCTTCAGACTCCTAGATGGTGTTTCACGTTCAAATTTGGAGGGATGCTTGCTCAAGGGATGCTTTATCATCCCTCAAAAGGAAAATTCCTCACCAGCCGTCGAACTTAGGAAAATCAGCGCTTATATGGAAAAATAATGAAAATTTCATATTTTCTTATTTTTTCTTCAGACTCCTAGATGGTGTTTCAAGTTCAAATTTGGAAGGATGCTTGCTTTATCATCCCTCAAAAGGGAAATTCTTAAGGTAAAAAAACAATTCATACTTGGGACTAAAGCAAAATTTGAATATATTTTTTTTTAAATTAAATAATCGAAATATCGGTTACAAACAAAACAAAATTAATCATAGGGTTAAACAACCTTCAACAGTTTGGTTCCATAAAGCTAATAAAGACTTAAGTCAAATCAACAAAAAAAAATTCTTTAATATTGCTTATATTCTTAAATTACTAATAAATATATTTGATAATAAAAAACATTTGAAAACAAAAATTAGTTTTTCAAACAGGGCGAGGCAGATAGAAAAAAAAATATCGGTATAAAGGAAGACTCAGCAGAAAAAATGAAAATTTCGAAACGTTTTTCCTCGAGTTTTTCCGATCGATTTCACTTGATATTGGTCTACAATTAGAGTAACTTCTCAATTTGTAGACTATTTTAGATCGATTCGCGAATAGCACAGAGGATGGTCCCGAGAGATTTTCGCGTTATTAGATACCTAACTGCCTCTTAAATTCCTAGTACAAATAAACGAATGGTAACAGTTATATACATAGCTAAGGTTTACTTCCAAAACAAAACAACAAATAAGCAACTTTTTAGGAAAATAGATCATCACAGATGTAAATCTTAGAATAATATAATATAAATATAAATATATATAATATAAAGAAATAATAGAAAAAATAAGATTTGGTTTCAAACAAGCGTTTAGTACATACTCTATTAATACTTTTAGGAAGTGCGACTAGTTATAAAAGTATCATCTTTCTACATTTCAAAAAGTGAAAATTATATTATTTCAGGTCCCATTAACTCTTATATTAATTCACCCTGCATAAGTCACACATATTATTTAGCGTTTTTTCAGATATTGATACGTTTAACTGAATTTCTTTATGACTAAGTAAACATTTTTCATGAATTAATCTATAACACATTTTACATTGAAAATAGTTTGATGAATTATTTTCAATTGATTGTACACAAAATAAACAACGACTTCTTAAATCGCTGGAATTTTTTAACAATAGATACTTCAAGTGTTTTCGGTATTCATTTATGTCCACTGAATCTAAAAGATTCCCACAGGTAACTATTTTATCGAAAAAATAAATATTATATACTCCACAGTTAAACGAGTCGGTTTGCAAAATATGGTGTGTGGTCTCTAAGTGCCACTCCACAGTATTCATTTTTTTAAACTTAAGAATTCTTTGAAATTGCACAAAATAATCCTCAGCGATGTAGGGTTCGTTTCCTAAAGGGTCAATGAATAGGAAAGTTTTCAAATTCAAATCTATTAATACCATCATATAATGACCCTGTCGCTCAAAAAGCATTACAATATTTGGTTTTTCAAAATTTAAAAAAAAATTAATCCAGCTAATAGCATCTTCATCAGATTTGAATATAGAAGAGTGGGGGTTAAAAACTAAGGAACAAACTTCAACGGAAAATATTTGAAATTTTTTTAAGGGATCTTTCAAGAAAAGACAATGTTCAATAAGAAAGCTTAACAGCTCTTTGCCCTCGTCTAATGATAGAAATTCCTCTGTACTTAACTCCTTTATTTGGGTATTTAATGAATCAATAGCTGATACTGTATAAGGTCTATTACTTTTTAATTTTTTATAATAGGTAATATCATTAACTAACCCGTTTTCGAAAAATTTTAAATTTTTTTCAGTGCGCCACTTTTTTTCTTCTAGTGTTAATTTTCCAGGAAAAAGTATTTCTGGTAATAGATAAAATAAATAAAAATGTACTATTGTATTCTTAATGGAATTCCAAAAAGGCCTATTTCTCATTACTTTAATTATTTTAATTTGGTTCTTTGAAAATATAACTAAATCACACCATTCTCTTTCAGTAACTTCCAGAATACCTTGAATTTGATAATAATACTGATGGTTTTGATTAATACTGGTATTTTCTTTATTTAAAAAAATGAAATCGAAAGAGTGGGGATCGCAATCTTTCGCCTTGTAAGGACATTTAATTTCAATTATTCCATCGGCGCCAACAAATCCATCTGGGGATGCAGCGATGAACGCATATTCTTTGTGGATAATTAAACCTACTGTGGTCACAGACACGTTTTTTGTTTTGCTGTATATTTCTCGAGCTTTGCTCTCCATATTCAAACCATAGTTCGTTTCGGGGGTGTTCACGTTTTTAGATTCCTTAATAGCCTTGGCAATATTTTGGAGTGAATTGTAATTTTTAGCTTTGCAAACTTTACCAAAATTAGAAGCAGTTATTATGATTTTTCTTTCCTCATTCCACGCTTGCGATTTATATTGTTGCCTTGTGTTGCGTTCTATTTCAGTTTTATTATATGATGCAATTTTTTTCAAAAAAGACTCACAACGTTCTGCTACTAAAGTTGCAGATGTTACTGATAAAGGTTTTACCTCGGGTTTTACCGAGGGTTTTTCTATGATATTTGCAACGCTTTTTACAAAATCGGCTTCCATTTCCTGGTCGCCATATTGTTCATAAAAAGTGTTTGAAACATTTTTCAAATATCTTGCATCGAAATGGGTATTTATTTTTTTAGTTTTTTTATTCCAAGATTCTTGGGAAAATTTTTCATCTGAATCCAGATTTTGATCTTTTCTTTTAGTCATCGGCGATTTAAGTTAGTTTTGGGTATATCAAACTGTGCTTCCGCCTCAAAAGCAATTACATCTTTTCTCATTAATCTCAGAAACCTTGAACACTTAATATTTTTCTGACCGCTTAAGGTATTTAATTTAATGTCTCCAAAGTGGTTTTCAATTGGAGCATTACTTATTCGTACTTTTTTGCCAATCATAATAGCTGACCATAATGGAGCTAAGGGTATATATTTTGATAATAAGATATCAAAAATTTTTTCATTGAAAAAAGGATTGGTTTTTCCGTGTTCTTCATTAAAGTTTTTGATGTTTGCTTTTATATTGGAATAACGAATGTAAAATGGACTTCCTTTGAAAATACCATCGCTTTCAGCAGCTATTGTCTTGGCAGGAATACCCAAACTATCAGCAATATGGAAGTCACTACTGATACTATCACTGGTTCTTATTGATAGTTGCTTTATTGCTTTGACAACATGCTTATTTGAAAATTTAACTAATAGAACAATGGCGGCATTGTACATATATTTATCTAATGATTGCATATCTTCAATCTCTATGGCGACAGCAAGTAAATCTTTAAAAAACCCAACTTGTTCCAAATTTTCCGCAATATTTTCAACGTCTTTACTTATCGTTTTCATTAAATGTGCGCAACACAAATGAAGAATAATTATGTTCTCATTTATTAAGTTTTCTGTCGATAAATTGTAACATATCTGAAGATATTCCGGAAGAGTGCACCTATTTAATGATTTACAAATAGCGTGAAGGCTGGCAAAGGAAAAATCAGTAACTATTATCGAAAACGCAGGCCAGAAATTCTGTTTTTCGCAATAAAATCTAAAATCGTGTAATAATTTAAAAATTGAATTCGAATCGTGCACTGCGCTAACCATCGAAAATATTGAAAAAACCCTTTTTGTATCAGATAATTGGATTACCGCACTATAATAATATATTCTTTTGTCAGCTTCAGAAAGTTTCCTTACTATGCTACCTGTGGCGTCAAAGTATACTACAACTGGGTCTTGCTTTTTATGTTCAATTTTAAGTACATTTATTTGTTCCCTGCTGAAAATTTTAACTGTGAATGGAAAAGTGATTTCTTTGATATATTCGGGATGATCTTGTTGCATGAATATCAAATCAACTACGTCGTTTTTATCTCGGTCCATTTTAGATAAAGCTTCTGATCGGATTTTTCTGAAAGTGGGGTCAGATTTGATTGTTTGTAAATTCTTGCCTTGTTGTAGTAACTTTTTATTTGCCTTTGATTTTATCAATGCCTCTTTTTTTATCTGAAGAGGTTTTCTATATAGAAGATTTGTTTGTAATATGTTTCGTTCGACACCCCTTACTTGACCAGTGTACAGCTCTGCATGGCTATAATTTATGGCCGAAGAAAATACTTCCACTCGAAGATCATTCAATTTTAAAGATATCTTAAATTTTTTGCATTTGTCTTCATTGTGTTTGCACAAAGCGAAAATGATTACTGTGTCCGATGTTTTCAAGTATTTCTTATTTTTTATAACTATGGTACAAATGTTATTAATATATTGAAAATTTTTTTTTTTGAGAAAGAATGGATAATATTTTGGGACAAGTTTACCATTAGGACATAAGGTACCTGAGGCAAATAAGGCCCACTTAAGAAGAAATTGCATTATTTATCAAAAAACAAAGAAACCAGCTAAGATATATCGTTACTCCGGACTATAGTACACAAGACTACAGGTACATTTGCAGCCTCAAATGTATGTGAAACTTTTGATATGCTCACAAAAAAAAGTCTCTAATGGGCTTTATTAAACGAATATTCGTTTAATAAAGCCCACAAGAAAAATTGATGTCGGCTATTAAGGCCCATAATGAATAAAACTAAAACAAGTTACAAAAATAAATTTATTGGAAAAATTAAAAGGTTTCACGTCTTAAAATGCGAAGACTACCTAAAAATAAATGGAATACTTGATTTCATAAAAATAAAATATCAAATTCTTTGGAAAAAAAAAACCAAAACCTAATCAGAACGTAGGCAATCGAATTCTTAGAAAAAATCCAACACTTAATCACAACGGACACAGATATAGCCATCTTTGTCGTCTTTTGTGAAACCAATGCAAATTTCATGGGACCAAGTGCCACAAGACACACACCTTCGCATATCCAATTTTTCTGATTTGTTACACACAAAGCAATACCAAGAGTCATTTTCTGCGAGGATATCCTTTTGGCCTTTTCTCTGTAACACTTTTGATGATGACGCTATTGGTTCATTCCTTATCTTATCTTTCTTGGATAGTGTAGATTTGGATTTGCCACTTGTTGGAGAGAATAGGTATTTGGTTACCATCTGTGCCCTGTAATTGAGAGATTTTATTCTTGGAGCTTTATTTTCTTTCAATTTGAAGAGTTCAGGCGTAGGGAGCAGTTCTTTGAAAGATTTATTGAGATCTTGGCTTTTTTCTTGTATCTTAGTTGCTTTATTAGTCTCAACTGGAGTTGCACGGGCTTTTTCTTGCAAGATAATGTTCCTTAACATACCGAGGGGGATGTTATCTGTGGAGTCGTCTGAATCAGGATCGTTGGATTGCACATCATTAACAATATTAGGCTGATCATCATTGTCATCAAGCTCAATATCAGTAATGTTATTAGTGTTGTTCTCACGAATTAGCGCATCGTCAGGACGTTCAGTTGCTAATGAGGGGGCGAAAGCTGATTCGGGAATCGCATTAGGATCTAATGGATATAAGCCTGTCGCTCGGAAGCCGCTCATTATGTTCTCGGGCGTCATGCATCTGGGCCAAACTTTGGAAAAAAATTTGCCAAAGCGATATTTGTTCAAGCGACGGTCTGGATGCGCTTCCCAGAACCTGAGAACTTCTTGGTCCCAGTGATGTTCAAAGGACCGATAAACCGCTTTGTCTAAAGGTTGCAGTTCATGGGTGGTGTTGGAAGGTAAGCAAAACAGTTTTATATCCAACTCATCAGCAACCTCGGTTATTGAGATATCTAGGTGACTAGCTGCTCCATCAAAAACTAGCAAGATACTCCCCGGACCCTTGTAATGGTGTAGGTGCCTAAGAAAAGCAAGGAAAAGTTCATTGGTCATGCTGCCCTTTTCCGCCATTTTAACCAGGGTACCTGCTGGTAAATTTTCTTCCCATTCAGGTTTCAATCTCTTTCCCTTAAATATGACCATAGGAGGGATACTATTTCCTAAAGCATTCCAACACCCAGCAATGGTCACGTTTTCTGCATGCTCGGGAGCAACCAAGTGGATACGTTTGGCTCCTTTTTGGGCAATAACTTGTTGTTGGTGATGAATAGTTATTCGGCATCCCTTTTCGTCCATATTGTAAAGGTTCTGTGGATTTTGGTGCAAATTCATTTCTTCAAAAATTCTGGATAATTTCGTGAAGTGATCACCAACTATAAATTTATTTAGTTTTTGGGCACGTGCTGGATTCATCATTTGCGCCTTGCGTCTTGACAAACGAGGATTGCGTTTCAGAAACCCATAGAGCCAGTCCTTACCAGCGATGCCTTTGGCAGCGTCAAATGGGTGTGGAATGTTATTTTCAATACAGAATGTGTATACAGAGCGACGTACTAATAATGGTGTTAGGGGCATTCCAATTTCACAGAGACGAACTATTCTTTCAGAAAATTGAACTTCTTGCTCGGGAGTTAAAACGCTGGATCGTCCGATTTTTTTATTTAGAATGCCAGATTTTAGATGGTTCCTTAGTGTTCTCCTGGGTATTTTATAACGCTGAGCAGCTTCTCTTTGCGACAATCTATTATGTTGCACTGCCCTAATTGCAGCTTGGAGTTGTTCTTCAGTCCAATTTGCTCGCTTCATCACTTTTGGTGGCATTGTTGTTGTGAAAACTTAACAAAAGAAAAAATATTTTATAACGTGGTTCAATAAGGCCCACCATTTGGTGGGCCTTATTAGCCAAAACTCATTGGGCTTTATTAGCCGAAATGCTTATTGGCTATGCAATAATTTAAAACATGAGTACCTCTTACCTTGTCGGTATCAGTGTCACATCAAAAAACAGTCCAAACTCCATGGAATCCAAGGCACCAAGTACTGGATTATATGATTTAAGTGCGCACGAAATATTTACTAAAATATGATGATTAAATTTTATAAAACCGCCTTCCACTCAACGCTGCGGTTCGATTATAACTGATTTTTCAAACGGTCTCCAGATTTCGTGGTATTGTTATGGCGCGTGACTTTCAACAGTTATTGGGGAGGGGCTCGACGTTGCCAGCTTTAAAAAAAAGGGCCTGTCATCAGATATGGCATCTGGGCCTTATAAGCCGCCGGGCCTTGTTTGCCGCAGGTACCTTATACATTTTAATTGAGTTGGTGTGATATCAAAATGTCCTTCGAAATGGATGCAATCTTTATACGTGGATATTATTGGTATAGGTGAAATATTCACTGCATTTTTGGGAATAAGAAGTGCCGAATTGCACGGGCTGGATAAATTGAGCATTTCCTTGGGAATATCCGGCTTGTCTAAACTAACTTCCACACTATTTATCCTTTCTGAGTCAAACGATAAACCATGGGACAAACTCTCCGAATTTGAGAGAGTTGGAAAAATATTCGTCGGCGAATTAGTCTGCATTTGTGAGCTTTGTGAATTAAAATCATTGTTTGAACAATTTTGGAGTGTCTCCGTTGGTGTCTCTGACTTAATGGGAGAAGTCCATGGCATGTATTCCAAATCTGATTTATTCCTATTTGGAGAATACTGCAAGACATTTTCTGTAGAAATATTCAAATTAGAATGGCCTGCATAAATATCGGATGGGTCATTTAAATT